TAAAGAAAGCAGTAGCTCATGGATATTAACTAGAAAAAGAAAAAATAATATTAAGGAAATGGGCAGTTATTTCACAGAAGAGGAAGTCCCCCAAACCCTTACTTACTAGTAATTAGAAAAATGGAACCAACAACACCGTGAGATCTCTCTTTATGTCCATTGGGTTGGCAAAATTTAAACACTAAATAATGCCAAGGCAAACCTTGAGTCCCACTCCTGGGTATGTATCCAGAGAAATTCTCACACGGTCCAAGGCAGGACAGGAAAGAGGGGTTTGTTGGAGTTTGTCAGTTTGAAGTAGCGATAGTTGGGGGTAATGTAAGTGTCCATTGCTGGGGGATCGGTTAAGGAAAGGGTGTTGGAACAATGTGCAGAAGTTAGGAACAGTGGACTAGGTGTACAAACAACAAGATGGCTAGATCAGAAGAGAGCACCACGTGAAAGATGGTGCCATACCTTATGTAAATAAAAAATTTAGGTTCACAGAAAATCATACATTTAAATGAAGGGAACTCCCCAGACACATTAGAATGGTTGGAGGCTGGAGCAAGGAGGTAGAACCTAAAGATACAGACTATAAACAAAGAAAACTGGAGAAAGTTGGTGTGGCCAACACTGGGAGTGAGCCATAAGGGAGGGACTCTGTACCTGAGCTACAAAATGAAGAGGAAGGAAAACAACACAACAAAAAAGGAATGAAGCATTAGGAAGAGAAAATATAATGCAGAATAAACGTGTCATAAAACAAAGGGAATTTTGTATTTGGTGCAAAACCAAAGCTCAACCCTGCATTCTGAACATTACACTCAAGGGACATGCACAGAGGGAAGTGGCTCGGAAAATCAGAAGTAGAAGAACCACCGAAGCTCATCGAGGAAGGAGCCTGAGGGGCAGCGGAAGAGAAGAGCCTGCTGTGGATGGGGAAACTCTGAGCTCTCGAACCTCTGGAGTTAAAGACCACAGCGACCACACGCTGACCTGTGGGCCGCAGAAGGTGGAAACAGACCAGTGCAGGGAGAAGCCTGTGGGTCCACCACAGATGAGGTAGATAAAGATAAGGATGCATGAGATCCGAACAATGGGATGAGGACAGAGACCCTCAGGAGTTTATGCCGAACTCTCAATCCTGGGGACAGAGAAGTCACTTTCTGTTAAGAACTTGTAGATGATCTATAAAAACTGATCGTGTCTGAGGTCCCCAAGGAAACCTTTAAAAATCATAAAGGTAATTTAAGTTATTTTAAAAATCACAAAATGAGGGGAAAATCCTTTCGTGAGGTACTTTTTTTTTTTTAAACGCTGCTTTAAATCAGCTTTGAGGTCAAGGAAGAAAAAAATAAAACTGATGTTGTAGACCAGAGAATAACAGTAATCGAAACACTGCATAAGAAACTGACACAGCCTTGATATCAAAGCTTTCCACAGAAAGAATCAAAAGCTACAGACAAACGCTCATTATAAATATCTATGCAAAATCCCCCATAAGATGCCATCATATGGAAATCAGCGGGGAATTAACATACATCACAGGCAGGGAGAGTTGTGAGAATTGTTCACTATTAGGGCCTCTACTAAAGTAATTCACTGTATTACGTTAAAGGATAACAGAAAGATATTTTCAAAATTCAACATCTACTTCAGATTAAACAGTAAATAAAGTTCTTATTAATTTTGGATAGAAGGTAATTTCTTGATGTTATAAGTGCATATATCTTAAATTAAAAGCCAGCATCATGGCTAATGGTGAAACACACAGCATAGCAGTTACATTTGGGAACAGAACAAGGATGCCTCTTATCCTCACGGGTACTTGACACTGTTCTGGAAAATCTGGCCAATGCTTTTGGGGAGAGAAGGAAACACGTGCTCTACCATACAAGCAGAAGGAAGCGGGACTGTCCCATCTGCAGATAGGACCATATACCCGGAGACCTGAGGAGAGCAAATGACACTTAGCGACGACAAGAGAATTCTGTGTGAGTCAGGTCCACAATCAGCTGGTAAAACCCAGTAATTCATGACGTCTAGGGGGTGTCTGGGTGGTGCAGTCTGTTAAGTTTCCGACTTTTGATTTCAGCTCGGGTCACAATCTCAGGGTCGTGGGATCAAGCCCCAAGTCTGGCTCCATGCTCAGCCAGGAGTCTGCTGGAGATTCTGTCTCTCCCTCTCTCCCTCTCTCCCTCTGCCCCTCCTACTGCTTGTGCTCTCTTTCTCTCTCAAATAGATAAAATTTTTTTTTAAATAAAACAAACATCTAGGAAATATGATGGGCTAAAAATTCTATACAATGAGTTCAGTAGTTTAAAAAGTCTAAAAATAAAATTGACAAGAAATAGGTAGAACTTAAAAGATAAAAAAAAAATAGACTCTAATGACAGATCTAAACAAAGCCAGAATAAATGGTGTGATATAGTTTGGCCTTGGGCTGGAAGATTACATTGTAAAAATACCAAATCCTCCTACAGGTAAGAGGACAGTCTTAAATTATGTCTGCAATCACAGTTAAAATACCAATAAATCTTCTGAAGCTTTACTAACAATATAAGGAGCTAACATGTAGAACCTAGCCCATAATATGGGCTCAGTAATTATTTATCAACATAGGTAACTAGTCTGGAATATATATATATATGTTTTATGTCCAATTTTCTTCTCCTGATATCCACCCAGATTCAAAACTTAGTTACTAATGTCCAAAAGCAACCACCCACTCAAATGCTTGTTGAGACTTGACATGAGTAAAGTTGAGGGGCTCGCAGGGCAGGTTGCCCCCTGAAGCATGTGGTTTCTTCCTTCCCTTCACTCTGCACACCCGGACGCAAACCCAATCAAGGTACGCAGCAAAACAAAGGGTACTTTTGAATCAGGATTCTCCTTCTTGAGAGGGCGGTCTTAGCTTAAAACCTACGCACATGCACACGCACACGCAGGTCTATAAAATGTCTGTTAACATTGTATGGTTAAATTTAATAAGCAGTATAGTGATACTAGTTTACAGTACAATAAAGTCAAAAGTATACCATCATTCAAATATACTCATGTGTTCATAAAAATGCTTTAGAAGAATCAGCATATTAACAGCAGTTACTTCCAAATCTTAGAATCCTGGCTGATTCTTTTCTTTTTTGTCTAATGTGTTTTATATTTGTAATTTAAGAAAGTGTTTTAAAAAGAAATTTTTTAAAAGTTAGTTTCTTCCCAGGACACTTAGAATGGAAATGAAGGGACGCCTGGGTGGCTCAGTTGGTTGAGTGTTTGACTCTGGATTTCGGTTCAGGTTGTGATCTCAGGGTTGTGAGATCAAGCCCCATGTCGGGCTCTTTGGTCAGCATGGAGTCTGCTTGAGATTCTCTCCCTCTGCCCCTGTCCCTCCCTGAACTTGCTCTCTCTTTCTCTCTAAAATAAATAAATCTTTAAAAAAGAAAAAGGGCGGAAATGAAGTGCCCACATTTCTAGCAGATATAGGGCCCATCTCCTTTGTTCTGTCCTCAGGAGCAGCTACGTCTCTCCAGGGAGACAGCACTGGGATCCCCAAAGATCTTTGGGAAGACACTGGAAAATCTGGGCCAGGGCGTCACCAAGTTTGGCTCCTCTGGGAGCTGGATATGTCCCCAAATACAGGTGGGGTTGAGGCCCTGGGGTAGGAGGCATTTTGGAGTCCTGCTGAGGGGCTTTGGGAACCACAGGTGAAGGGTTCAAGTCCATCCAGCGCTGGGGCCATCCAGGCCTGAGAGGTCCAAAGGGAGAAAACCTGCCAGTCTTCAAGAAAAACGAGGCAAGAATGCTGCGGAGAAAAGTAAAAAGGTGGTAAGGAGGGGACGGTCCAGGAGGAGATTGTCCAGACAAATCAGGGGTCTCCCCCGAGAAGTGAGGCCCAGAGTAAGGAAGAAGGCCAGCCCGAGCCCCAGCCCCACCTTCCAGGTGACACTGTCCCAAATCTGCAGTCTGGAGCACGCCCGGGACTCCTTCCAGACAGAAGGTCTTTGTAAGTGGTGAGTGTTTGGTCAGTCCCAGTTCCATGAGGACGCTGGACCAGTCATTGTCCCACTTCTCTGACAGAGATCATGAGTGTCAGAGAAGTTTGCTACTTAGATGGCTGGTGAGTGGGGGAGACAGGCCTGAAGCCCCGCACAGCTGACCCCAAATCTGGATCCCTCCCCATACCCAGCACTGATGCGATGTCCCTGAATGAGCCGCAGGCCTTCACATGCTTCTGATGCTGGGCGTCGGTCCAGTGGCTCTGAAGACTGTCTCTCCACGGGACTCCCCGACCCTGGTCCCCGACTCCCGGCCTGAGGGATTGGGGTGCTCCACCAGAGCGGGGGCTGGGATTGGGCAAGTGGTCCCACCGGCCTCCACCCAGGCACAAGCGCTGTGGAGGCTTTGGGATGTGTGCCAGCCTTTCTTGACTTTACCTCCGCCCTCAGGGAGCTCTGTCCTTGACGGTTTGTGGCCTGGTTTCCTTGATGGACCCAGAGTCTTTCCGACTTCCCTCCCGCCTTCCAGGGTCCGTGTCCCATTGGAATCCCAGTCAGAAACAGCACCCAGATCTTCCCCAGCCAGCATGCCTCCGATTCTGGGATCGATTCTGATGAGCAGAGTTGTTTCGGGGAGAGGCCTCAGAGGAGCTGATGGGATTGCAGAGCAATATGAGCAGTGTGGCCCGGATTAAAATCACTCAAGTCCTGGAATTCTGAGGCCTCATAATCATTTCTCTGGTATTATGCCCCAACTCACAGCCACAAAAGCATCAGTGTTCTGTCTTTTTGAGATGGCAGATACAGGCTAATAATAGAACGCATAGGAGAGTCCTTCACGACCCTGGACTAACCTCACATAAACTCTGGTGCTGTCCTGACCACTCTCCCATAGAGAAGGAGGGACAGCTCTGAAGGAGGGACAGCTGTGGTGAACAGTGAGGTGACCTGGAGGTGGCCATGCAGAGAGTGGGGAGAAGGTTCTCAGAGCTGGATGGCCGGTTCCCACCCCAGGCCCTGCCCTCACCTACCTTCACACACTGCACCTGCATCCTCACTGTGATCACAGTCAAAGGTCTCAACCTGCTCACATTCAGCCAGCATCCTCGGTCCCGTTGCAAGGGCCACTTGAAGAAACACGGACTGGTCTTCCTCTGCCAACGGCAGGTACAGCAGGCCTGCAGGGGTGTGCTTGGCTACTCCGCAGACCAGCTCCCGCCACACCACGGCCACATCCTTCACGTCCCAGCCGTCATCACACACGGTGCCCCAGCTACCGTCCTGTTCCATCACCACCCGCCCTTTGCAGCGGTGGGGACCATTTGTCAAGTGGATTTTGGATGGGGCTCTGCAAACAAGAGGGGTTGGATCACACTCAGAAATGTGGGAGGGAAACAGGAGAAGCTGTTTGGTGGGGGTGGTGTGGGGTGGGGTAGAGGGCTTGCTGACATAGGGAATCCGTCTCCCAAGGGCAGCCCCCACCTAAAGAGCCCTGGGAAAAGCAGCCCTGCATTCTGAAGACAAAGGAATGTAGGGACATAGGGATTTATGCTTTGATTCTCAGGAGCTCAGAAAGATCTCAGAAAAGCAGAGAGAAGGCTAGAACTAGGTCTTCCCTAGAGATGAAGCCTGGGGGCTCCAGCATTCCGGTGGACTGAGCTGCCCGGTTTCTTCTGAGAGCTGCTTCACACCCCATTGGTGACCTCACCCATCCCAAGGCTGCTCCTTCTGCAGGGGGCAAACATGCCACAGGGTCAGCCTGCGCTCTGTCCATTTCTTTGTTTGCTTTTCCAAACTGGAGTGATTTGTAAGGAGGCCTTTTCTGGAGGGTCTCCAGCAGAGAGGAAGGATGGAGCCCAGAGCTGTCAGTGACCAGCCTCCCTTCTGAGAACAAAAATGATGGAGAGACACAACAGAAAGAGGGGTGGCAAAGGACAGGACCCTAAGAGCTAGCCGCGCACTAAGGCACGTCCAGTCCCCATCTCTCCCACCTGCTGCACTTGTGGTTTTTTCTGGCTCAAGCCAGTTTGTATGGCATTTCTATCCTTTGCAACCAAAGTGCCCCATCTGACATGGTCAGTTACCAACTTCACAGCAGAGCTCCTGCAGAAATAGTAAACCTGGAAGAATGACAGGTAGCATATGAATGTGATTCTCAGAAACTCACAGATTGAAAAGACGAAGCGTATATAAGGCGCCATGGAGACTGACTAGATAAGCAACCAGCTTCATCGGATAGAAAAGTAAACACCAAACTTTGTATATCCCAAACAGAAAATTCACATTCTTTTCAAATTCCATATAGAAGGGCGTCTGAGTAGCTCGGTCAGTTAATGATCTGACTCTTGGTTTCAGCTCAGGTCATGATCTCAGGGTCATGGGATCGAGCCCCACGTCGGACTTTGCGCTCAGTGGGGTGTCTGCCTGAGGATTCACCCTCTCCCTCTGCCACTCCCCCCACTCGCACTCACTCTCAAATAAATAATAAAAAATTTTAAAATAAATAAATAAAATAAAGTCAAATTGCATATATAGCATTTACAAAAATGACAACTGTGTGTTAGGCCATAAAAACATTTTTAGTAAGTTCCCCAAAGTAAAAGTCATGCGTCTATATACTTTAATCAAGTTTAACCACAAGGACAAAGAAAAAAATCTATAAGAAATTAATGAACTAAAGGACAAAAGTGAAATCTATTCATAAGGAATTGTAAGTCTCCAGTTACAAAAGAAATGAAAACCCATATTCCACATAATTTAGAAATTAAACAAATGAAAATGTTAGACATTGATACTTATACAGGGAGATGCAAGCAGTACTTAGAAGAAACGTGTTTTAGATGCATTTACTACATGCAAATAAAGATGAAGAGTAAATAAGCATTTACTTGAGAAGTTAAAGAAGGAGTAACATAAAGTAAGCCTAAAGCAAAAAGGAGGAAAACATACTGAAGGTAAGGGAGAAGATGAACTAGAACTAAATGAACTAGAAAACCAAAACCCAAATAGATTTGAGTTATAAAAGTGCACCTGAGTCTCGAGAAAGAGCCGTAACATAGACCCTCGTGGGCCTGTCTGATTCAGAAGGAAGTCACGCAAATGGAACAAAGGATAGAAAAATTGGAAAGACTAATAAGAAAGCAGCTCTGACGCTGGGAGTCAAGATCTCACAGGCTTGGGAAGTCCTTGCGGCCGATTCCAGAGACGTTTCAAGTAGCACGTGCGTCCAACACAAAACCGTTTAAAACAAAACTTCTGCAAACACAGCGACCACGCAGTGCTTCTGAAATCATAGCTATGAGGCTAAACTCTCCCTGATACCAAACCCAGAAAGTCACGTAGCTACTGCCCATGAGGACATGGTGACTAAGAAGGGCTCGGCAGGAACCCGATGACTTCCCGGAGGAGGACCCCTATAATGCACGTCTCTACGGTGATGCGTTAGAGGGGACACGTGGTGTGACCACCGCGATGCTTCCTGACCCTAGCCTCCAGCTCCACCTTGGGCCAGCGGCAGAGCGACCTGGGAGAGGTACCGAATCTAAATCTCATTTCCTCGTCAGTAAAATGAGTGTTGTTATGGAGGTTGAGTTTGGATCCCGGAATTTGTTCATGGTTTTTCCACCGTTTCCTGAGTATTGACGAGGCTAGTTGGGGCGGGGTGGGCGGTGATCTGCAGAGGTCGGCGGGGTGGGTGGGGTGAAGGCCCCTGCAGAGCACAGCCCCAAGAGCTGAAGACCAGTTTCCTGACCACAGGATCACCCAGCGCAAAAGACGCTTGGCATAACCGCAGCTGGTCCTCTAGAAGGAGATACGGACATGTCCTACCTGTGATGCTGAGTGGTACCGCCTCGCTGCCCTGGGCCCCCAGGCCATTGTTGGCTTCACAGGAGTAGTTTCCAGAATGTTCTGGGGTCAGAGAGAGGTTGAAGGACGCTCCTCCTCCAGAGGGGGCCGAGCTGCTCCCCAGGGTGACATCCTCGTGATAAAACCGGTACTGGATCAGGGGAGAGCTGCTCTGGGCCTCGCAGCGAAGCTCCACCACGTCCCCCACCACGGCCCGGGTCCCGGGAGTCCTGAGGGTGAGGACGGGGCGGGACGCTGGGACTGAGGGAGACAGGGCCAACGTCAGAGAGCGTCTCTCCTGCTGGACGGCCTTACAGCCCACTCTGTCCTTGTCCCAGGTCCTTGCAGGGTCCCTCCAGCCCATGAGGGATGTCTTGTGTCCCTCTGTCCCCCTCCTCTAGCTCATCTGTCACTGTCGCCACCACCTCACAGATCTCCTGCCGTGTTCACATGGCTTCTTAACCACTTCACAGCCCGTCCCACGTCATCCTTGGCACATCCTCACTGCCACAGAGGGAGACTGCTGCAATCACTGGCTGATTAGGAGAGCGCTGCTCACCTGTGATGGTGACGTTCAGGGCCCCGCTGCGGGCCAGGCCGTGGCCATTGTCCGCCACGCAGTAGTAGCCACCCGCATGGCTCTCCCCGACGGCAGGGATCTCCAGCTCTGCTCTCCGGGAACGCTGGCGCTTGCTCCCCACACTCTCCCCCGTGTCCTCTCTGTGCCAGAAGAACGTGGTGTCCCCTGTGCCTTCAGCCACGGAGCAGACGAGGACCAGACGCTCCCCTGCAAGCACCTGTCCCCCCTGGGGCTGGGTCTCCAGGAGCACTGCCGACACCGGGACGCCTGCGTGAACGAGACAGGGCAGGTGAGGGCAGGTGAGGCCAAGTGAGGGCAGGTGAGGGCAGGTGAGGCCAGGTGAGGGCAGGTGAGGCCAGGTGAGGCCAGGTGAGGGCAGGTGAGGGTAGGTGAGGCCAGGTGAGGGCAGGTGAGGCCAGGTGAGGCCAGGTGAGGGCAGGTGAGGCCAGGTGAGGCCAGGTGAAGCCAGGTGAGGGCAGGTGAGGGCCACCGGGATGCCTGCATGAACATGAGAGGCCAGGTGAGGCCAGGTGAGGCCAGGTGAGGGCAGGTGAGGCCAAGTGAGGGCAGGTGAGGCCAGGTGAGGGCAGGTGAGGGCAGGTGAGGCCAGGTGAGGCCAAGTGAGGGCAGGTGAGGGGAGGTGAGGGCAGATGAGGCCAGGTGATGGCAGGTGAGGCCAGGTGAGGCCAGGTGAGGGCCACCGGGATGCCTGCATGAACACGAGAGGCCAGGTGAGGCCAGGTGAGGGCGGGTGAGGCCAAGTGAGGGCAGGTGAGGCCAGGTGAGGCCAGGTAAGGGCAGGTGAGGGCAGGTGAGGCCAGGTGAGGGCAGGTGAGGCCAGGTGAGGCCAGGTGAGGGCAGGTGAGGGCAGGCGAAGGCCACCGGGATGCCTGCATGAACATGAGAGGCCAGGTGAGGGCAGGTGAGGGCAGGTGAGGCCAAGTGAGGGCAGGTGAGGCCAGGTGAGGCCAGGTAAGGGCAGGTGAGGGCAGGTGAGGCCAAGTGAGGGCAGGTGAGGCCAGGTGAGGCCAGGTGAGGGCAGGTGAGGCCAAGTGAGGGCAGGTGAGGCCAGGTGAGGGCAGGTGAGGGCAGGTGAGGCCAGGTGAGGGCAGGTGAGGCCAGGTGAGGGCAGGTGAGGGCAGGTGAGGCCAAGTGAGGGCAGGTGAGGCCAAGTGAGGGCAGGTGAGGCCAGGTGAGGGGAGGTGAGGGCAGGTGAGGGCAGGTGAGGCCAGGTGAGGCCAGGTGAGGGCAGGTGAGGGCAGGCGAAGGCCACCGGGATGCCTGCATGAACATGAGAGGCCAGGTGAGGGCAGGTGAGGGCAGGTGAGGCCAAGTGAGGGCAGGTGAGGCCAGGTGAGGCCAGGTGAGGGCCACCGGGATGCCTGCATGAACACGAGAGGCCAGGTGAGGCCAGGTGAGGGCGGGTGAGGCCAGGTGAGGCCAGGTGAGGGCCTGGGTTGGAGGGCCTGCTATGCATCTGGGCAGGTGGAGTTGCTGGAGGCCAAGGTGTAGGCAGAAGAGTGTTTGGTGGGGAGGGAGCATGCTGAGGGCCCTGCGGCAGGGCCACCTGTGCTACTGCATGGCACACAATGGCCATGGCCTGGCCTGCAGCAGGAGAGGGGGACAGGGGGACAGCGGGGGGCGGGACGGGGGACAGCGGGGCGGCGGGACAGGGGACAGTGGGGTGACAGGACAGGGGACAGTGGGACAGTGGAACAGGGGACAGCGGGACAGGGGGATAGCAGGATGGTGGGACGGGGACAGCGGGATGGCGGGACAGCGGAACAGCAGGACAGGGGACAGCGGGCTGGCGGGAGCGCTGTGCCGCTTATTCATCGCATGCTCTCGGTAGGTCAGTTCATCCGTGACCCCGCGTTGCCTGGAAGATGGAGTGTGGAGCCTCGTAGCAGCGTGGCAGGGCTCTGGGGGTGATGAAGGGAGAGCCCCACCCAGCAGCCGGCTGCCTGGAGGTGTCCGGCGCCTGGCAGCCGAGGTCGCACTGCCGTCCACCCGCACGGGGTGGGGCAGGGGCAGACGCCGACCCCAGCGTGCCTGGGGTCCCATTCCTGCTGCGCCGCTTCCAGGCTGGGTTACCCCGGGCAGGTCACTTGACTGCTCTGTGCTTTCAGGCTCCTCGTGTGTGAAATGGGGATACTAACGGACCCACATTACAGATCCCGTCACAGCACTGCTCCCCAGGGCTCTGCGGGGCTCCCCCTAGGCCTGTTCGGAGCAGGGCCTGTACTTGGTAAACTTCCTGAGAGTCCTCCCTGTCCAGAGACTTTTGGGCACCAGAGGGGTTCTTCTGGAACTGAGCACAGCAGCCCGGCTTCAGGCCTGGCGTTCGGGAAGCGACTGTAAGTGCTGGGGGCTCTTCCTGCCCCTCCTGCTATTGCTGCTCGTGGCTCTCCCTGGGCTCGGGGTGCCTCTGGCTGGGGGCAGCTCCCCGCAGATGGACACCATGATTCTTTAGCTATTGTTCGCTGAGCAGAATAGAAGGTGCTGCAGGGAGAGCTTATGATGGTCGCTTCGTGGACCGGGAGAGCAGAGCTCTGGGAGATGGCGCCCCTGTGGCCACTGATAGGCAGAGCCCAGGGGAGTCCCCATAGCCCCATACCCGCCGTACCCTCTGGGACAGGGGAGGCACAGCTGGGGTCTCCCCAGGAGCCCTGCTCTTCTCTGCCCGACCCAGGACCCAGCCTGCAGCCCCGCCCCTGGGGCTCACCCTGCGCAAGCACGTGGGGCCGATGACTCTGCTTGGAGACGCTGTGGGACACGGTCGCCACCTCACACCAGTAGTATCCCGAGTCCTCCTTCCCTGTGGCCGAGATCCGAAACTCTGATGAGCTCCTGTCTCATCTCAGGGTGTGGTCATCCCTGAAGAAGGAGTAGCAAAGCTGCGTCCCGGACCTGTCCCAGGGGAGCTGGGTGTCACAGGACAGGGTCACTGAGGTCCCCTCGGTGGGCTGCAAAGGCCTGACGGTCAGCGTGGGTGCTGGAAACAGCTCTGGAGGGAGAGAGGGAACAGACCAGCCGTCGTGCGGTGTGCAGGTCCTGCGGGGAGGTGCCCTGTCTTCTCAGCCCCAGTGAGCAGGACTCACAGACCCAGACCCAGGGACACACAGCCACCCACCATCGCTCCCTCCCTGGGTGTGTCCCCTGGCCCGCACCCGGGTGCCCCCCCCACAGGCCCTTGAACGGCGAAGCCTCACCTTGGACAGTGAGCCACACAGATCTCGTTTTCCCTGTCCTGAGTGTACAGAAGGACAGCTCGTGGACCTCACAGGAAGAGAAGCCACCGACCCTGGGCCTTGCGTTTGAAATGGTGTAGCTTGAGGGGCCGTAGGAAGGGGCTAGCAGAGACCCGTCCTCGTAGTTCGTCACTTTCCCTGCCATGTCATTGCTTTCCCCAGAGCGCCTCACAACCGCCTCGTCTCCTTCATAGACGTAGCGGGGCATGTCAATGCTCGGCCAGTGTGCAAAAGATGCAGACGCTGCAGCGTCAGCCCTGCCCCCACCCAGTCCCAGCACCCTGACTCCCGCTCGCGTCGGGGAGGGGTGATGCACACACACGCACCACTGTGCAGCATGGATCCCTGGGAACCCTTACTGACATCTTGTGCCTTCCATACCTCCTGTTAATGTTATGTCTGTTGAAAAAGTTTCAGTCCCATTTCTGGACCAAATGTGGATTTTTAAGTGACACTTGTATCTCTGCATCCATTCAAGGTGACCTCCTGTCCCTGTGGCAGCCAGGATCAACTTTGTCTGCATCTCTCATTCCTTGGAGGCTCAGCCCAGTGGCTACAATTCAAACACCTTCCTATTGTCTTCTCCCTGATGTAACCATCCATCAGCTGGGACAGTAGCCCCGGGGCTGCAGAATCAGTACCTGGAATGAGCCCTTCCCGAATGCCTTTTCCAGAGGCTTCTGAGAACCCTTTGCTGGATGGACCCTGTAAGAAGGGGTGGGCTCCTCTGCTTGTTCGGGTCCTTGCCTCCCCTTGGAGGACAGTGGTCCTCAGAGCTAAGGGCAGCTTGGTGTGTGGATCTGCCCCAGCAGGGGAAGGAAACCACTAGGCTGCAGGGGCTGGAGGTTCCAAGCTGGAAGTTTGCAGAGGAAAGAGAGCCAGCCCTATACGCTATGACCCAGCTCTGAGTCTGGGGCTTTCGGGGGGGGGATATTTTTCAGCTGACAACTGAGCTAGAAATTCAGTTTCAAATATCAATTTAGAATCGTGGTGCATTGGGCTGAATTGCAGAGATGTTCGCCATTCTGATAAAAAGTCTAATCCCAGGACTGCGTTGGACCATTCATTCCCCTTCAGTGTAAAGAGAGGCAGAGCTGGACATGGAGGAACAGGATGGAGAAAGGGGGGAGGCAAGAAGTGTTTGTTTTGTCTGCGGGCTCTGCCCTGTAGCCCTGAGTTACGGTAGCTCTCAGGGAACTGCCTCAGAAGGCAGACCACCCTCGCGTGGGCTCTAGGTCCAGTCTCCAAAGTGGGATCCATAAAGAGGTGGGACTTCCATATTCTATGAAACATTTTCTCATCTTTTGATTTTTTTGTTTTTGTACATATTTTGCAACGCTCACAGTATTTCTCTCCAGGGCTCTCTATCTAGATAACATGTTGGATGTGCATGCTCAGAATTTTTGTTCTTAATAAGCTCAGAGACCACTGCTCCTTCCAGACCGCTCAGTCTCACCTGTGGACCAGGAGGCGGGCATGGCGGTGGGTCAGAAACACTGACAAAAAGAGACACATCTTAAGCCTTCCTGGAGGCCAAAAGTTTCCTTCCTCCACGTGGAGATTGGGCAAGATTTTCAGTGAAGATGATAGAGATGAAATCAGTTTGATTAAAGAATGTTTGAGAAAGAAGACTCACGTGACCGAGATGGTGGTAACGACAGGGCTAGAGATAAGTAAGAGATGACTCTGGACCTTACTGAGTTTGGAACCAGGGTCTGGCTGGGAGATACTCGGGAGAGTGGCCTTAACTTTGACATTTGACTGACAGACCCTCTCCCCAGAACAAGGAACAATCTGCATACGCGCACATCTCATCAGGTCCTGCCGAAGCTCGTCCGAAGAACCCTCTGCCTGAAAATCACAGCAGATGCAATACAGTGTATCGTCAGATCTAAAAATATCAGCTATGTAAGGATGCCCCCCACCCCCCACCCCTTGTAGGAGGGTGAATACCTCCTTGAAGGAGGAGGTAAAGAGAAAATGTAACTTTCCAGTCTAATAATGTAAGACAAGTTAGGCGTGGAAACGTTCAGGGGTCGGCCCTGTTTTAGGCAGAGCATCTCCCCAGCATCCAGTTACCTCTCTGTGGTAAATGTGTTTCCCATCATGGCGTCTGGTGCTGCTGGGGGTCCGGAACCAGGAGAACGTGGAGAATGTTTACTCAGCAGTAACTGCATATGGTCTGCTTTCCCTTCCTGGGTAACTGCTTTCTGGTCCCAGGGCTCAGCAGCAAGGAGAAAAGAATTCATGGCCTTGACAGGGTCCGGGGGTTTAGCCCATCAGGCAGGCAGGTAGCAGTGCAGGGATGAAGGGACACCGGAGCGCTCCTGCCCGGTGGGGACCGGCCTCCCCCTCGCCCCACCCCAGTCCTGGCCCCGGTCCCCACAGCCCCAGCGGCACCTGCCTCGCCGGCAGAGTGAGGGCCTCCCAGAGACAGAAGAGAACAAAGACAGGGGAACTCACCAGCCTGGGCATCCACAGCAACTGCAGGGGAAGAGGCAGAGATCACCACCCAGCCAGGGGCTGCACGCTTTCTGAAAACGTAACCTCCACCCTCTCCCCAACTGGTCTCTCTGCCCCCTTTCCCTCTGTGTCTTCTTCCCTCGACCCCCCACTTCTCACCCCTTCCGTCCTCCTCCCCTCATTCTGTCTATTCCTTTCCCCCTCCAGCTTGGCTTGCTTCCTTCTTTCCCTCACTCACAAACAACCTCTCGTAGAATCAAGGGCTCAAGACCCAAACGGTTCATAAACATAGTCCTTCCCTGTTACCAGAGCTGATTATTATGCAGGCAAATTCCCAAGAAGTTTCACACTGTATTTGATCCTCTCACACCTTCTCTTTTTAAGGCTGACTTTTGTTTGAGACAGATCGAGTGCCCACTGGCAACACAGAAGTCAGGAAGGTGTCTGCTCACATCTTGTGCACGCTGTTTCTCCCTCCTTCCTTGTTCTCGATCCAGCACTGTGTTTGCATCTGTGTGCAAGGGTCAGACTCACCAGCAGAAGCTGTGGTCTCATCTACAGTCGGCGGGACTGGAAACACTCCAAAGTGTCAGTTGAGGAAAGAAAGACATCGGCCCCAGGTGTGCTGGCTTGGTGTGGGAGTGGGGCTGGGACAGAGTAGGATTTCGGTGGCCCGGAAATAGAATTTACCCCAACAGAACATTCCTTTGATCTCATTTTAAGAAGTGTTCCAATTTTCCGAGAGATCAAAGCAGAAATAGATGTTTTAAAGAGAGCAGAGGGCATCAGTATTTGCAAAAGAGATGCATAGTCCTTTGTTTTCCCGGGACCTGCTCTGCTCAGTACTGATCCTCACGACGCGTACTGGTCCTGAGTTAGAAGCCAGGGCCCATCCCTACTCATCCCATCGGAGAGATGTGTGCTCAAGAGCAAGCTCTTGGATGCCTGGGCACGGTGGTTCCGCCTCAGCTTCGCCCAGGTCCTGCTCCAGCATCCTACTCACCGAGGACCAGAAGCAATGGCCACAGCAGCATGAGATTGGAGGTGAGGCATTATCCCAATGGCGGTAAGGGGGCAGCTCAGGGACAGACTGTGAGGCTGGATTAGGCACTGTGGTTCAGCGGGGATTTTATAGAAAAATGAAAAAAAAAGTAGGAAAGCTCTCTGTGTGGCAGTCAGCATTGTCCCCACCCTTAGCCCCATGGGTGCTGAGAATATAAATGTTCTTCTTCACAGAGTTGCTCAGATGTTCTGTGTATTGATCGGAAATGCTCCTTGAAATGTAAGATGTCTTCACCCTATGGCTAGGGCACCCCAGGGAGCCTTTCTTTCTTTTTCTTTCTTTCTTTCTTTCTTTCTTTCTTTCTTTCTTTCTTTCTTTCTTTCTTTCTTTCTTTCTTTCTTTCTTCCTTTCTTTCTTTATCTTTCATTATTTTGTTATGTTCAGTTAGCCAGCATATAGTACATCATAAGGTTTTTTTTTAATTTTTAAAATTATTTATTTATTTATTTATTATGTTATGTTAATCACCATACAGGACATCATTAGTTTTTGATGTAGTGTTCCATGATTCATTGTTTGCATATAATGCCCAGTGCTTCATGCACTTAATACCCATCACCAGGCTCACCCATCCTCCCACCCCCCTCCCCTCTGAAACCCTCAGTTTGTTTCCCGTAGTCCATAATCTTTCATGGTTCATCTCCCCCTCTGACTTCCCCCCCCTTCATTTTTCCCCTCCTTCTCCTAATGTCCTCCATGCTATTCCTTATGTTCCACATATAAGTGAAACCATATGACAATTGACTTTCTCTGCTTGACTTATTTCTCTTAGCATAATCTCCTCCAGTCCCATTCATGTTGATGTAAAATTTGGGTATTCATCCTTTCTGATGGCTGAGTAATATTCCATTGTGTATATGGACCGCATCTTCTTTATCCATTCATCTGTTGAAGGGCATCTCAGCTCCTTCCACAGTTTGGCTATTGTGGACATTGCTGCAAATCAATCAGTGTGATAGAACACATTAATAAAGAAGAGACAAGAACCGTATAATCCTCTCAATTGATGCAGAAAAAGCATTCGACAAAATACAGCATCCTTTCCTGATTACACTCTTCAGAGTGTAGGGATAGAAGGAACATTCCTCAAGTTCATAAAATCCATCTATGAAAAGCCCACGGTAAATATCATTCTCAATGGGGAAAAACTGAGAACCTTTCCCTTAAGATCAGGAACACAACAACGATGCCCACTCTCACCACTATTATTCAACATAGGACTAGAAGTCCTAGCATCAGCAATCAGACAACAAAAAGAAATAAAGGTATTCAAATAGGTAAGGAAGAAGTCAAATTCTCTCTCTTTGCAGATGACATGATATTTTATGTGGAAAACCCAAAAGACTCCACCTCCAAATTGCTAGAACTTATACAGCAATTCAGTAACATGGCAGGATACAAAATCAATGCACAGAAATCAGTTGCTTTCCTATACACTAACAGTGTAACTGTAGAAAGAGCGATTCCATTTACAATAGCACCAAAAACCGTAAGATACCTCGGAATAAACCTAACCAACCAGAGGTAAAGGATCTATGAGAACACTTATGAGAGAAATTGAAGAAGACACAAAAAGATGGAAAAACATTCCATGCTCATGGATCAGAAGAATAAACATTGTTAAAATATCTATGCTACCCAGGGCAATCTATACTTTCAACACCATCCCGATCAAAATACCA